GGGGTGGACCAAAATTTGGGTGGGGCTTAGGTTGCTTCCAGTTCTTTACCACCAAATAGCAAGCAATAAGAATTAGACAGTGATGATTTTTCTATACTCACGGTGAGCCACGGCAGCTTGAGAACCATTCAAACGAGAAGAGTTGCCTTTGTTTTCCATCTCTTTGTTCTTAGTCAAATTCTTGTTGATGGTGGGGACGAAGCCCATTCACCTCCAAATTCCTTCGAATTAGTTTTCGTGTAATGAAAAAGTTGCCTTACAAGTAGTTCGACCAGATTTATAACTGTTAAATCTCAGAGGCACAAACACAAACGTGCACACACAGCACTTCAAACATAATACTCCGATGAGCTGGGTTAGGCTGTTTTGTCGAGAAAGTTGAACGCACCCAACAAAGAACCAATGAGCGCATAGGTATCTTTGTCAGTGGGGGAAAGTGTGTCGTAAACTTTCACCCCATTGTCAGGGCTAGGAGAGCGTGAGCCCTCCGTACAGCGTTATTTTTTCCCTGTCTTCTACCTTTTTACAAGAAGATTTTCATTTAGGACGGGCTGTGGGAATAGGGCTCATCTTCGCTCAGCTCTAAAGACATTTGATTGGCTGTTAGGTTACTATAGTTGTAAGCGGTGACAACAGTGATTGGATAAGCGAGTAAGCCGCCAAGTTGATCACTCTGTGCTCATTGTGTGCGGTCATAACGGTTTCAACTGCTTATTTCATTATGGAGAAACTTTCATTTACTTTGGGATAGAGTTGGGGGTAGTGGGTGAGGAGGGGGTAGGGGCTCAAGCCCGTGAGCCCTTCACTACCCACCGCCACTGACCCCAGCTGACAATAGAACACTCAGAAACATTCTCAGTTTCCAGGGAAAGCATACTGTGCAAGCGCTCAAACACTATCTTTCACTGTCTATGGCTGGGTACCCATTCTCACCTAGGTGAAGTGAGGAAAATTCATGTAAAGTGCCTTCCCCAAGAACACAAACACACCAAACACAGACAGTAAACACACACACACACACACACACACACAGACACACACACACACACACACACACACACACACACACACACACACACAGGGAGAGAGAGAGAGAGAGAGAGAGAGAGAGAGAGAGAGAGAGAGAGAGAGAGAGAGAGAGAGAGAGAGAGACTATCGAATACATGCAAATTACATCACTGTACATTATTTTGTTGTTATATCTAATCCAGTTTTGTAGCCTCCCTCCCACTCTTTTGTCCCCAAACCCACCCTTTATCCCTCCCCATTATATACTCTGACACATTTTTAAGTGTACACAATTTGAAGCTCAATAAAAAAAATCTATCCACTAACTACTTTCAAATTTACACACCACTGATTACGTGATATATCTGTCGCTGGTGAGCTGTTTTCAGATTTCTGAACGCACGAATGGTTTTGTAACTGCATGCGTGTTACATGTTTTGCGTTTTTTTAGAATTACTCATGATACAGCAATGATTTGTTTAAAAAAGAAGCACACATCAAAGCCATGTCATTTTTGTAACAATTCACCAGAGATAAAACTTGTTTTGTCTACGTTCTTGATTCCACGCCCAAAGAGAGAATGTGCGAAATCAGCTTGTTGGATTGATTCACGGGGTTGCCTCAGTATCCACTGTTGCGAGACATTTTCATGTAAGAACTATGTACACAACAATGGATCGTGAGAAAACAACAAAATCAGGAAAGGATCGACACCGCCAACGTGGGAGAAGAAAAACTACTCCTAGAGTGGATCTTTTTATACGCCTGTCGCATCTACGGAATCGTTTCAACACGGCAAGACAAACCAGAGATGAGCAGAACAACATGCGACAACCCCAGCCTCATTCATACACTTCCTTAACTTGAGAGAGCATCGCATGAAGAGTGGAATAACATCCCTCAACAGGCAGTGCAGCGATTGATTGATTCAAGGTGGCGACAAATTCAAGCCGTCATCAACGCTACTGATCGTGTTACTTTTGTATACCACCCCCATACTCTTGTAAGTCGTGAATAAACCTGTTATGTTAATATTCCGTATTGTTGTTGTTGTTTTTGCTTTTTAAATTGATTGAATTCGTACTCCTGAAATTTTAAAGAATATCGACTCATTGTGAAACTAGCTATTTTCATTTTTAACACAGTGTATACTTTAAAATGTGACAGAATATATTTCTGCTCCCCCCCCCCCCCCCTCCTCTACGCCCTAAAAATCCATTTTTTTTTCTTTTTTTTTATGAAAGATGACGGTGAGCATTTGCTTTTGCCAGCAATGTGACAAGGGCAGCGATTGTCATGGCAGTGACTGCTGTCTGTGGAAGCCACGTTTGAAGAAAGGGGAGTGCTCTCCAATGGGGGGCGTGGCAGCACGTGAGTAGGTCTGTGTGTGTCTTAAACACCGTCCTCTTACACGCAACCCTTAGGAAAACGGGTTAGCCTTGCTGATTCCACGTAAACCACAAACATCTTCACTCTAACGGTCACCTGTATAAAACAAACATCTGTACAAACGCAACTTCTCACTACCTCCTTTGCGTATCTTTTACATTATAATGACACTGTGTGAGAAGGCCACGAACCTGTCTAATACGACCACTTTTTCATTGCTGTCTTAGACAGTTTCCACTGTATATAGCCGTCCGGTACAGACTACCGCTACGACATGTACTTAGTAACTACAGAACTGGCATAAAGGCGATGCCTTTTCGCTCGGTAAATCCTCAGTCGTTTGGAGATTTTATTCCGAGGAAGTACATGTTATCTATTGGTCAAGTTATTCTCATTCTTATCTAATCTTATCTTATCTTAACGTATCTTATCTGATTTTAACAAAGAACATAACACAATGCAGATTACATTTAATTAAAATACACAACAGTTCCAAAATGTTTGCACAAAGTCTCGTAGATCTACTAAGGTGGTGACATTGTTAGTATTAATACTTACTCTTCCAGACAAATAAACGACCATCCAATTTGAATGTCGTCTAACAGACAATTCTTGATTTAGTCCGCACTTTACTGGGAAAGAAGTGACCACCAATGTATATCATGTCTCAACAACAACTCTTGATTTAGTCTCCACTTTAGAGGGAAAGAAGCGACAACCCATTTGGCGGTCATCTCATTAGTCCGTACTTAACAAGGGAAAGAAGCCACCACCCACTGAAATGTCTCACCAACAACTCTTGAATTAGTTCACGAGACCGTACTCACAAACGTACCCCTGTCATGTAGCTAAAAATAATCTGACTTTGATCGAGATCATGTGATGGTTTTTATCCACAGACTGCTACACCAGAGAGCCGTACGCTTGGACTCAGCCGGAGAAGATGGTCACTGACTTCGATCGTTGCCCGTGTGAGCCAGGGCTTTTCTGTGGGCCTCTGGGGAATGGAAGAGAAGATCCAAAGTATGGAACCATAGGTCAGTGCCTCAATGTGTTCACTTTACCTTTTCCTTCCTACCTCTAGAGTAGGTTGTGCATCTGAAGGCTCAAAACGTGGCAAGCTTGTTTTGTTTTGTTGCTAGAATCGGTCCTTCTGGTCATAGCAGAAGCCATAAGTCATCCTATCCTTTAATTCTTCTACTTCACTTAAGAAATATTTTCATCTCTTGATGTATTGGTCATCGCCAGACATTGACGGACGTATTATTACTCGTTGTAGTCGGAACAGTAAAGAGAGAGAGAGGGGGAGGAGAAAGAGAGAGAGAGAGAGAGAGAGAGAGAGA